GTTTCTTTTGTTAACAGATTGTCATTGTATAATTGGTTAAGCATTTATTACTAATGCATTTTATAACACTTTATAATACACTAAGGGGGTAACTGCACTGAGTTTTCATTTATAGGTAAGGATAAAACAGTTATAAAAGACACCTTCATTTAAAGTGTTACCATGGTATCTTTAATGATTTCAAGTGGCTCTGAGCTCAGTTTGAAATTATTCAAAAGTGAGCACCTGCAATAGTGTAATGGCACCTAGCACCACCCTGGGCCATGCGTTCAGCAGTAACTCAGCTGGTATACTCACTTCCAACTTTCAAAATCATCAGCATCATTACTACTGCTGTACCTAGGCACTCACTGAAAGTCTCCCCTTCAAAATACTCCCCAGCTTAGCTTATAAGATCAGACAGGAACACAGCACACAGTATCTCCACATGTTGGTTCACTTACTGGAGAAGGTTCCATTATACATACAAACAAATTATTTATTGAAATATAACAATACATTTAAAATATTTAAAAGATGCTAAAAATGCACTTTGGCAAGTATTATTAAAATAGTTTCTACCCGTTGTTGTTTATAATTATAACAAGTCCTTGTTAGTGAGAAGCTAAATTGGTTTCCTTAAAATAATATGCCTCATATCATGCACATGTTCATATTGATTTGTCATTGTAACAGTTTGATTGTCTTTAAACACGAAATGCTCACAGTGGTGTGTTGTTGTAGAGTTACTCGTGATGGTTAAGCAGTGCACACTGCTTTGTTGTTACTGAATAGGACTGTGGGCATTCCTGACATTTTCCCCCCAACTCTGAAGAGGATTGAAGTATTTGCTTTAAAAACAAAATAAACTGATAGGCCTTGGTTTTCAGAGGCTTCAGTTGGACTTGTGAGTGCTTAGCCCTTCTGAAACTTAGGTGATTATGGATTTGCAAAGTTCATGTGCATTTTTAAGAAAAATTGATCTAAAGCTATTTGGAAGGGACAGAAGCGGTGACCTGTCTCTTAGAATATTCAAAACTATGGACAGAACTGGGATGTACAATAAACAATGGTCCCTCATTTTCAGTTCCTAAGCCTAAGAGATGGTAGAGACATTCAGGTGTTCCCTTTGCCCTGCAGCCCTATCCTTCCCCATTTAGCACAGCTGAACCTTGACAGCCCTATGACTTGGGTTCTTCATCAGTCCTTTCATGCAGCATCCCGAGCGTCTTTCCTCACCACTGCCATTTTTGTCCATCTGCATTACAAATAACACAGAACCAGGCAGACATCGTGGTCAGCTGAGCCCCTGGTAGCTTTTCTCCTCAAGCTCGATTATTCACAGAGGAGAATTACATTAGCACTGCCCGAGATGCTACTTATATGACTATTAAAGCCTGTTAAACCAACTCAGTGGCACTGACTTCAAGGAAATGAATTAAAGAGCAAGTCAAAAAAAGGTTAGCTGTTTTGGTGCCATTCCAAAGTCCATCTGTTCTAGAAACATCACCTCCTCCATAGAAGGAAGGCAGAAACTAAGGCAGGTGTGAGCTCCACAGATAACTTTGTGACCATAAAGGAAAAGCACTGGCATATCCCAATTCCCACCCACCCCCAATCTTACAACTATTTCTGATGTTTAAATTTCTCAGTGAAGTTGTGGATTTAAAAGAAACCCAAGAAACAAAAGCAATGAAATCTTCTACACTTAAAATTGGGGGATTTTCCCTCTGACTTTCAAGCAGATTCTTGGCAGTATCCCCATTACAAGATGAACTTCTAAATGGAGGAAGGTTATTTGAATACTCACCATAAAACATGGAAATTCTGACAGTAGGTTTTGTTCATTCACCATTGCTTCCCATAACCTGAACCACAACTGGATATTCAAAGTGGGGTAGGCAAGTCATCCAGGTATCTTGTCTTCCATTTCCTTCTCCAAGCCCCATGTAGCTGCCTGGATACTGCATTACCTTGCTATAAACTGCTTAGGTGTGAAAACACCTGAACAGGCAGGAAACAGTTGGCATGGGGTTTTAGATGACATTTTCCATGCTTTCTTTGTGTTGGGAAAAATGAACTGGAATACGTCTCTAGCCCTGGTGATCTGGTGGGAATATCCATGGCAACATCCGTGGGAAGAGAGTCAGTTTGGGGTTGTACAGGGAAAATGGCACTGGGAAAATGTTAGAAAACACATTAACTAGTTGAGTGTTAAACAAAGCTTTATGCTTAGTATGGATGAGGATAAATTGTGTTAAAATATATTAGCTGGCTGTGGTTAATTTTAGGGTTAACTAACACATATTTCATACAAGTCATGTTTAAAAATGTGCTTAGCTGGTCTTGGCACCAACTAGCATGTTTTAAAGCACAGCTTGTCCTTTTCTACACAGGTACATGGAGTAATGCTCCATGTCACATTTTCTAACACAGTGTCTTTCCCCAAGTAGGCAAGGCCTTAGAAAGGTTCTGCTTTTCCTTTGCTGGCTAGACAAGGGGCAGTGAAAAATAATCTCAATTCTTCTTCCTCTTCCATGAAGTGGGAGAAGGTGGATTGGGATATGGTGGCAGCTAAGGGTCCAGGGTTTGAAATATAAATGGCCAGATCCTACACCCAATAAAATCAATGGAACAGGATCAAACTCAATATAGCATTTAAACAGAGAATGCTACATGGACAAAGGTGGGGGGGGGGGGGCTATGTGAGGAGGAGGCCAGTAGCGGCACCTATAGCCAGCTCTCCAAGGCAATCTGTGAGTGGAGTTAGTAGGTTCTAGTCCTCCACATCTGAACAAAGGGGGATGTGTCCTAGGGACTCAAGGAAGGGTGAGATGCAGCTGGTGGAAAATGGTGGGGGTTGGCGCTACAGAGATTTCATGAGGAACGCAGAAAGGTGGGGAGGGATGTCTTCCAGTCTTGGGAAAACTGACAGCATTTGCCAAAGGGACAGTCTCAGTGACTGAGAGACTAAGAACAAGGAATGCAGGCCATATCTCAGGAGAGAGGATTCTATCATGGGAAGCAGTGATTGAAAAGGAGTTGGGGGTCATGGAAGATTATCAGCTTAACACGAGTTCCCATTGCAACACCCTAGTCAAACAGGCAAATGTGATCCTTTGATGAATTAACAGGGAAATAATGAGTAAGAGTTGGGAGGTTATATTGTGTCTATATTCAACACTGGTGTGACCACCATTGGAATACGGTGTCCAGTTTTGGTGCTCACAATTCAAGAAGGATGTTAATAAATTTGAAAAGATTCAAAGAAGAGCCATGAGAATGATTTAACGATAGTGAAAGACTGAAGGAGCTCAGTAGCTTTAGTTTAACAGAGAGAAGGTTAAGGCTTGACTTGATCACAGTCTATAAGTACCTAAATGGGGAACAGAAATTTGATACTACAAGGTTCTTCAACCTAGCAGGAAAAGTATAACAAGATACAATGCCAGGAAGTTGAGGCTTGACAAATTCAGATTAGAAATAAAGTGCCAATTTAACGGGGAGGGTAATAAACCATAGGAACAATTTTTTAAGGTTTGAATGGATTCTCCATCACTGGAAATTTTTTGAATCAAGATTGGATGTTTTTGTAAAAGATGCTTTGAGTTCAAGTAGGAATTAAGCCAGTGGACTCTTATAGCCTGTGTTGTACAAGAGGTCAGACTAGATGATCAGAAAAGTTCCTTCTGGCCTTGGAATCTATGAAATCCATGACTCAAGGATCTGGCCCCAAATCCCAAACTGTCCAGCCAAAAAAAGAAAAAAGAAAAGAAATTCAGCCAATTCTGATTGACAAAGCTTTGTGGAGCCCTCATCTCTACCTCTCCACTTGAGAATATGCATCAGAGTACTAGGTTTTCACCTAAGGAAGACTAGACTCTCCTTTTGCAGTCTATCAGTGATCAGCTGGAGGGACTGCTCCCTTCATCCCTGTGGCTGAGCACCAACTCTGCATAGAGCTCAGCCCTTGCCAGCATGGGATGGTGAAGATGGGGACTAGGTGCCAGCCCTATCATTCTGAAGAACATTGAGCATTAAGAAACCACTTGCTGGGACCTGTGGTCATACTTATTTCCCATTAAACTTGGGTGTAGTGGAGAGATGGCCAGCTGCATGTTTTATGCAGCAAACAATTATTAGAACTTTGTGCTGGATCCTGGCTGCCAGCCACTGGAAGAGCTTTACTAGAAATGAAATCACAGTTGTCCCAGCTGTGCACTTCAGCCTGAAGAGTTCTGATAAAACAGGGACTAAGTAATTAGTCAAATGTGTACATCTAGAAAAATAGGCAGACATTCCCATGTCCAGTATAACGGAGTTGTCTGAGCATCCTAGGATTGCCAGCTAGAGGTGCTGTAGATAATGATGTGTCCACTTTTCCACCATAAATCCAGTTTCTCAGAGGCTGACATGTTAGTTCTTTATGATGGGTGGGAATGAGGGGAGATTGATATGTAGCCTCACAGTGTAGATATGGAATTTATCTGCACCCTTCGCAGAGACAGGTCGCTTTCATAGATGTAGCTGAGAGATATGATTATGGAGGATATGTGCCATCCCCTCTAGTCAGATGATTCTGGTCATGTGACTAGTGTGTGGGAGGGGGCATATAAATATCACAATATCCAACCAGACCTCCCTGGAGCAAACCTGAGAACTTTTGGAAAAGGAAAATGTGGGGCTATTTTGCTAAAGAAAGCATGAGTGAGAAGACAGAGAACACCTGTGGAGGAAGACGGAACACCTCCCCTCCTGAGCATTTCAAAGGGTTTATTTAGCAACGGACCACATGATATGCCTTATTCCTCTGACCCAATCGCCATCAATATTAGCTGAGATTTTCCCTTCCCTTGAGGGAGAGGGCATATTTGGAGCTTGAGGTTATTTTAACATAATTTCTTGGTGTTTAATGACAGGTTAACTGGAGGTCATTTTCCTATTAACCATCTCTGTGTTTTCTTTCCTTTCTCTCTTTACCCCCTCACTGTGTCTGTCTTTTCTCCCGTCTGCACTAAAAGTGGCTGTTCTTCTATCTCCAAGTTCCTCCTGCTGTTCTGCAATAGACCAGTTCCTGTCTAACCCTGAACATGCTCTGTAAGTCTTTTCTTTTATTACTGTAGCATTGTGTGTATGTGTGTGCGTATGTGCGTTTATTATTCCTTTTTAATACACTTCCCTTGTTGTGTGGCTCACCAGGGATGGGGTTGATGGGAAAACTTTAAACAAACCATGTCAAGAACTTACATCAGAATGGTGTGTGTCATTTCCTGTATGCAGATACTCTTATTGTTGGCAATACAACGGGTAGGATGCATTCTTTTTATGGTACTCTTCTGACTTTGAGGATTATTATTTATATTATGGTAGTTCACAGCCCCATTGCACTACGTGCTGTGCAAAAGAATAACAAAGATGACAAAGCTTTAGCTGACAGACTGATATTAATTGCATGCCAGATTTGTATAGCACTATGCATACTGATCTGTGTTTAGACCAGTGGTTCTCAAACTTCTTTTTCCACAGACCACTTGAAAATTGCTGAGGGTCTCGGCGGACCACTTAATGATCTTTCCAAATGTTGTTTGTACCGTTAGCTAAGTATTATAAATCGCTTTGGATAAAAGCGCAATATAAAAAAACCTCAATAATAAACAACTTTCTTTTGTTCTACAAATAAAAGCGCACAACTCATATTTTAATTTCAGTATTCTTGATACTTGCTCTCACTAAATACTTGCTCTCACTAAATACTTGCTCTCACTTTCTAATGCGATGGATGTGCCCTCTCTCCCCCGCCATGGCAGCCCCCGAGCTGGGGCTGGGAAGGAGGGCCGCCTTTCCCTGGCAGCCACAACTCTGGAGCTGGGGAAAGTCACCTCTTTCTCTGGCTGCCACAGCCCTGCACATCCCAAATTCCCCCCACCTCCTCTTCTCACTCCACTGCCCCCCTCCCACCTACCCCCTACTCCTCTCAAAGCCACCACCTCACCTTACATGTGCGTCTTCTTCAGGGTCCAGGCACCTAATTAGGTGGATGGCCCTTCATTCTTTTGCGTGTGGCCGCTCAGGCACGCACCTTAGAGGGACCTATCCGCAGACCACTTGAATGGACCTCGCGGACACTGGTGGTCCGCAGACCACAGTTTGAGAACCTCTGGTTTAGACATAAAATCTTTCTAAGCCCCTTGCTCTGCCAGATATAGCACTTAGGAAATTTACCCAGTGAATTCCACCAAGGTTCTGACTAAGTCTGACTAGGGGGTCTGACCAGGTACTGACGACAGTAACTAACCTTGGGGAGAATTGCGCCTCCTACCACCGAAAAGAACACACACAATGACAACACTAGGAAAGGTAGGAGCTCTGTCCTAGTGCAAGCTACCACCTCAAACCCACTAGACAACTTTCACCACAGGGAGCAATAGCCTGGTTTTGCTTGGCCTTCAGAGTTACTACAGATGGGATAAGCTAGTGGAAAATAATGGTATCCTGCATGACTTTGATGTGCCAGTAGCAACAGTCCACATAACGCAGTAACAGCAAGGGACCCAGTGATTAAGAAGAATCCAAATGCCCAGTAAATAGAAAAGGACTCTGGCAGGCAGAGGATTAATCCCTCTTTCTTCAATACTTTTTTATTCTGATGGGGGTTTTGCTGCTCGATGTTAATATCAGAAAATGGAATACGTGCTCTAGCTGGATTTCTTATGATCCCTGCGTGTCTACTGAATCTTTGACACAGTTTAAGTTTAAAGAAAACCCAAGCCAGTATCTACAGTTGTTTGAATACAGCAGTGTGACTTGGGTGATACAGTATCTGTTTCTGCCATCTGTAATTTCACCTAGTTAGGCCCCTGGATAGACAGCACCATCTGCAAGTCCCAGGGCAGTGACCATGATGCAAGCTGCTCCATTGCTACGTGTCAGGTTTTTCTGACCTACTTTGGAATAGTTCTGCTGCAGGAATTGAAGGGTGCAATGACCAATTTGGCAGAGGACTTCTTTTTCCCCTCTAAAGGGCTGTAAGTAGAAATGAAGGAAAAGTTAAGCTGTCAGGGAAATTTTCTCAATAATGAGGTTCATTAGGGTGTGTACTAGTCTCCCAAGGGCAGTAGAGAAAACCCTATAACAGTGGATATTTGGGAGTGGACTGTATAACTCATTGGAGCAGGGAATAAACCAGTTTCAGCCAGCCAGGATGGAGAGAGGGAGAGAGAATGGGGAGGCTACACCAGTCATTTCCATCTCTAACCAGCAGGATTCATTTTGTGGAATTTATAAAGTACCTGTTGCCAGAAAAATCTCAGTAACTTCCAGCATCTATGACCCCATCACCACTGCACCCTGTCTGACCCTGATTTTTAAGGGCCAAGAACAGAATCCTGGGCATGTGTGTGTGACCAGACTCTCTCCTAAGCAGGGTTCTCTTCTGAACACAACTGAGATTAATGGTCAGGAATTTTACATCATGCTTCACAACTATTACAGATCACAGAACATTCCCCTAGTTAGTTGGTAGGCTGCCAGAACTGCACCCTGGCTCCTTAGGCCTCACTTTGAAAGGTTCCTTCCAAACAGGCTTTAGCATCAGATGGTCTCTGTCAAACACCTTAATTCCTGCCCGTGCACCCACTCTCTCTGCTAGCCTTTTCCAGGGATGGAGAGAGGAACTATGTGTCAAATTATTATTATTATTATTGTTAACTAATTATTAGCTCAGCTCCTCTTTGCTTGGACATGGAAATTAGCAACTCCACACACCCTGCACTGTGCTTAAGAATGCCTAGTCACCTGAGCTCAGAGCCAGGCTGGTTCTGATTTCAGGTGGCTAGCCTGAGCCACTGCCAGTGTCACAGAATCCACACAGCTACTTTTAGCGTGCTGGCATAAGCCCCACTAACAGAAGTCTGTCTATGTGAGTTGGGAGGCTCAGTCCCAGTTGCTCAGTGGTCACAAGCAAGCAGCTTTTAGCCAGGAGATACGTGCACCCAGACACTATGCTGAGGAGGTGATTATTAATGAATCCAGCTGCATTCAACTTTCCCATTTTGGCTGATTTGGGCTGAACCTCACATATATGATATAAGGGAATTTGCAGTCTAGCTCTGGAGTTCAGGAACCAGATCGGGGAGAAATATGGCCTGTCTTTTTTTTAGGTAATGAAGAATGACAGAGGCCTTTTCTTCTACAGGGGATCTTCATTTTCTGTTTGTGTGTGTCTATCAGCTATAGTCTGAAGAGAATGACAGGGCTTCCTCAGCCCAAATAAATACAAGCTAAAGCCAAGCTGGCTTCAGTTAACATAGCTACTCTTATTATCACTTCTAGAACTAGCTGCTGTAATGTCTTTACATCATATACTAGGTGCATCCTGTATAACTGAGCTTTGTGTGCTTTAAAAAAAAAATGGTATTAGCATTATGCTAACCACAGCTTTCTTGTACCACATTCCCTCCCTTTCCCCCACTCCCAGCTCTGCCATTAGCACCTCTTCCCTGCTCTTTTATTTCCTTCCTTCAGCAATCAGGTGCCTGCTGCCAATGAGGCAAATTAACATTTCTGTATAGAGCACCTGCTACTCCACCCATCCATGTTAGCACACTGCAGGGATGTCTGGCTGTTTGGAATGAGGGTTTTAACCCTCTCCTTGCCAGATGCTGTGCGAGAGCCCTTCTCCTAATCATTAAGGCCACTGTTTTCTTGTACAAGTTGCTGGTGAACCCTAATGTGAGTTTTTGTGTCTCGCTCCCTCACCCTGGTATCTCCTCCACTGTCATTTCCATTCATTTCCTATTAAATGGCTGTACAGCCAAAGTGCCTCACAGAGAATAACGCAATCGGCACATGACTCATTGTATATTGTCAGGCACTGGGGTTCTCACAAGCAGCTTGACTGAAGGGAGCATGAAAGTAGCATATAGTGAGATTTTTGCCAAAGATATTTAGAGGCCTCTGTTCTACAGTCTCCATATATGCCTGCTGCAGTATCATCTCACAATGAAATAATTGGCTCCAGCAGGGACAGTCAGAGACAACAGACAAATTCCCAAGAACTTCTGAGCCACTTGTGTGTAACCTTCTTATAGAATCCCATGACCTTGCACCTCCAGTGAGTGTGTATGAGGTGGTGATCCATTTTTCATAAGTACAAACCCCAGGGCCCAGGGACTTAGGCACCTAGGGCCCAGATTTAGGCACTACTGCAATCCACAAACTTCCCGCCTAACTCTAAACTCATTTGACACCTATGTTTTTGCTGTAAAAGTTCCCAAGGTGCCTGAGTTTCTGTTCCTGGGCATGCGCACTGCTGCCTCAGACAGACATCCAGGTGCCTGTCTCACACCTAAGCCACCGTGTGAGCCTCAGACTAGGTGAAGCTAGATGGGGGAACACCTGTCTTGCCTGTGGGACCCAGTCAAGTAGGTGTGCTCTGAATATTCCTAACTCCACACAAGATGTCCAGGAGGAAAGGAGACTCCCTAGTAACCTTTAGCTCAGGGGTTTGTGCATTCCGCCAGGATATTGGAAATCCCAGTTCAATTCCCTTCTCTGGTGAGTGCTCTAACTACTGGCCTATGGGACTTTATGATGTGGCTCTCCCTCATTCTACTTTGTATTATATAGTGATTGGATCACTATACTCCAGAGAGTGGTGCTCACCCAAGAGGTAGGAAACCCTTCCCCTACTGTAAGCAGAGGGGAGAATTGAACCTGGGTCTCCTACACCTCCCCGTGAGTACCCTAACCACTGGGCCAAGATTATAATGAAGAGCACCACCTCCTTCCCCCTAACTGGTTTGGGTACAGTTAGGCCTTCCTTATAACCATTAGGCCAGAGGTTAGCGTCCTCATCCAGGATGTAGGAGACCCCTAGCTCAAACTCCCTCTCTGCAAGAACAACCAAGGCATCTGATTCCAGGCGATAGGGGTTCCTGGCTGTGGGTTGCAAGCAGGGATGGGGCCTCCCTGCAACCTGAACTATAAGAGGGACAGGGTTTAGGACGCACTCAGTCATTGGCATCTCCACATGGCTAGCTTTGGTGGGGAGCCACCTAGCACAGTCACTTTTGTGGATCCTTTTCTCAGGCACCCAT